TACCTATACACTCGTACCGCAAACACCTGAGAGAGCCTCTGACTGACCCAGTGGCTCTTAGGCCCCTCTTCTCTGCCAGAGAAGCTGAAGGTACCTGCGTAAGGAACATTTCCGAGCCTTGTACAACAAGGATTATACATGACAACACCTTAGAAACTCACACACTTAAAAAAATCTTTCTTATTAGCACTTATCGTTAGCACTAGATAAACTAAATATTTGGAAAATCTTCTTTACTTCTTAGTACTGGCTTATTTTTGGATTTCATTTAACTTGCAGAACGAAAACTGATTAGATCTTTTGTAATGTAATCTTTAAGGATGTTCCCAATACCGCTTTATTTTTCCTGATGTCACTTATGTAATAGAGTGAAAGGCAGCCATACACACTCTGAAAGCAGCTAAACAGCTTCACTCTCCATTTCTCTGCCAGTAGAATAATGCTTGCCTCTTTGAGCTGCTGAATAATTTCAACACAAAACAGAATTTGCTTTTCATCAACTCAAAAAAGAAAAAAGTCCACAGTAATTTCTGACAGGATTCAGAAAATTGTTAGTTTGGGCTGTTATTTCCTAAAATCAATTCTCCCAGTGAAGAACATGAAAATTGCCCTTCTCAAAAGTTACTTCTCACTTCATTACACTTCCATATTGTGTAAGCAGTTGTCTTTCACATACTGGAGCACATTGGTCTCAAAGATAGTGTTATGCTAACTTTTTTTCCGAACTTTGTCGCAGCACTGTCCTGTGTGCTGCAGGATCCCATATGCCTATTAGAGACTACCTGGAGATAGGATGACAAGCAGGAATCTCTCCATAGAGCAGATGTAGGCAGCTAGTGCAGCAGCTTCACATTCCTCACTCCAAGGTAATATTGTGAACAATTCCTCAGAAGGAGGTGTTCTCATTCCTTTTTCTCCCCTTGGATGAATGCAACTTGCACGGAGGTCCGTGGAAGGTCAGACCCTCACCACTGTCAAGGTTTAGTCCTTCTCAGAGAAAGGCTCAACACGGAGTATTGCTGGAAAAACAGACCTACTTATGGCTAAATTACCACAGCTAAGAGGAACATAAATCGTCAGCTCCCAGACATCTTTCCTCCCTCCTTTCTCGCTTCCCTCTGAAGGAAGAACACTGAGTCCTAATTTTTTGTATCTATCTGTCCAATTGTTTATGATCACCTACTTCATTATGTTATGTTTTACATCTGCACATAGCTTTACAATTACGATCATAATGTTTGATTAAAGTTTAGTGTTTCTAATGAACGAGGCTATTTAGCAGCCCCTCCTAGCTAGTAGCGCCCCTCACTAGGACAGGCTGATTTCAGATAGCTTGATTTTACACCTGGTACAATTCCTGGATGCTGATATAGAAACTTATGCACTTACTTTCTGAGGTACTGCTAAGCCCTACAATCATCGAGATGGTCAGGAGCCAAAAAACCTTGCTTTCCATTGCTGTCCTCCATCTGCAGACTTTAGGCAGAATGTGTTTCTAGGGACATAAGTCACTTTTAAGGCTTTTATTTTATACCAGTTTTGTTTGTCCCAATACTCTAGTTTACATTTGCTTAAGGAGGAGCTTTTTGGCTGTTCTGTTTTTTTAATCACTCTTGATTAACATGTTGTTAGCACATCCAGTGTCCCATAAACAGCCAGGTAGCTGGTACTGGGAGAAGACTGACAAAGATACTCAATGTAGTGTAAGGTCAGTGTGGTAGAAAAGTTTGCTCTTCAAATTGGTCATCCTAACCTGCCTGCCCAGCAATCTTTTATCATTGCATGTGTTCTGCCAGTTGCTAAATAGGTTATTTTCAATACACCAAGTCAATGTTTCTATGTGTACCTACAGCAAATTTTTTTTTATTTACTTCTTGAATTATGCAGATGATGGGAAGTCTTAAAATAATGTTCAATCTAGGGGCAAGATGAAAAGTGGCTGCAAGTCCTGGGAAAAGAACAGGAACTGGGATTTCTTCTTCAGTAGGGTATGTACCTACACACAGAGCCAGCTGCTAGTGGATTGGCAAAGGCAGCTGTTGCTACCTCTCCTTTCTTTTAACAGTGCCCAGTAGATACATGCCCCCAGGCAAACGGCAGGGGAGCAGTTGTGCAGCCCTTGGCAGCCCCATTTCTCTTCTCATTCCCTTGCTGGTTAATATGCATAGGATGTCCTCAGCAACAGGGAAAACAGGGATGCAGCACAAGCGCTTCTCTCCTTCATGGTGCAAAAACGTCAGCAACAAAGTAGTCTGAAAGAAACATCAAGCTCCTGCATATGTCTATGGTTTCTGTTGCTTCTCAGAAACTTCTCTCTTAAATGATATCAGCAGGGCCTGAAAAAGGTCTTTAGGACATTACAGGCACTATAATTGCAAATGCCATCCAGAAGGGCTGGTAAAGGCAAAGTCAACAGTACCAAGCTGGTGGCTTGGGTGCAGTGGAAGGGGTGACACTCAGTGCAGTGAGGTGGAGGGGTTACGCCTGCGGTAGGGGTGAGCTGAGTGGCACAAAGCAATGTAGAGCAGCATAGAGTTCTTTATGGGACAATTCGCATTGTTTTTTGGGAGGAATTCTGAACTGCTGGTTTTATTTTCCAGGATTCTGTACAGAAAAGCAGAATTTATAAGCATCATTTACAATAAGCCCTTCACTCTATTCTAGTAGTTTCTTGAGATGTTGCTACTTGCATACACTGCTGACACGCATATAGGAAAAAAGGCCAACAAGCCACAGCTCAGCATCACAGCTTGCCTGAGGCACTCCCGAGGTAAAAGCCTGTTTTATGAGAGTGGGTGAAGCGATTGTATCAGCAAGTGGGCTCGCTGATGGCATTTTAATACTTGCCAAATGCAAAAGAGCCCTGCTATTCGTCACAGGAGGGCTGGCAAGGGTCAACCCACACGTGGTGGGGTCAGTGTCTGGGGAAGGGACAGCCCCATATCTGATGTCTGGCGATATATGGGCATTTGGCAGCTGTGCAGAGACTGGACCACAGCTGAGCGATGCTGAACTGGGAAGGGAACCTCAGGGCAGAGCTGGGTTGGACTATGCCCAGTGGTGCTGGTGGGGGCTCTCCACTAGCTCCGGGTGGATGCTGGTTTTCTCCTGGGAAGGCCTCAAGTCTGTGCTTGTTCTACTGTATTTTGGTTATTGGGTCCCAGAGTGCAGTCTTCACAAAAACTACATTTCTTCTGCAACTCTTTGTTATACAAGACTGGGATGGCAACAGGGTTGTCTCTAAACGAGAGGATAAAGTTGGGTTGCAGGGAGGTGCTGCATACCCGTTTCTTTGGCAACACCTTGTTCTAAGCCATCTTGAAAGGCATATTCTGGGCTGCTAGACTGTTTATAAGTGTGTGTGTATGTGTGTATGGTTTATAAAATTCCAGTGAGTGATAAATCCCCATGACATGCAGATCTGTGTAAGGAAAGGTCTTGCAGTGATATCCCTAGTGCCTCGGAAAGGGATGCTACGAGAGCTGAAAGGGCTGCTCTGAACAGCAACTGCTGCTGTCCTCTCTGACACCTCTGTCTTAATGGGGGATGAGTAAAGTCAAGTCCTGTAGGAGTCAACAGTCAGCATTTTCTTACTGGTCTACCACAACGTGAGGGGGAATTAATTCATCATCTGGAGCAGCATTTCTGAGCCTACAGTCCCAGTCTGTCAGAAACCAAAAGCTGGTCTGCAGCATGGCTGGAAAAAAAAAATTAAAAAAGGAAAAACTAGTTATTTCTAAACATAAGCACACGTCCCTGCACACAGGCAGGTGAACAAAATAAGGAAGCTAGTGAAAATAAACGAGTAAAAACATGTGGACCACATGGTACAAGATGGTCCCCAGTTTTGTTCAAAATGACTACCTAGTCCTCCGTTTCAGAAAGGTGGGAGATTCCAATCTGAGTGTAGCATACATATGATGCGTCTGACGTTATACAGCAGGTAGGGCTGTCAGCAAAAAAAGAGTTTGGTAATATGTAACTCGGGATCCTTCCAATTTGCTCTTCCCACTGCTGGCAGAAGAGATGGGGGCATAGCTGGGGGGAACAACTATGAGTCCCTGTGCCAAAGGCAGGGATTCACCATGAAGGTCCTCACAGCTGCCGGGGGGGGCAGTGAAATGTGACCCGTCTCTGTAAGAGCTGAGCTGGATTTGATTTTTCTCTTTGAAGCTCAGTATCCACTGAGCACAACCTTTGAGGCTGAGGGTTGCAGTGAATCACATAAGCAAGCTATGAGGCCATGGAGGGATGCTGAAGGTGAAATACAATGCTAAAGTTGTTAAACTTGTTGGTCCAAGGCTATTTTTTTGTATATTTTCCTACTCACTCTTGTCTCTTAATTTCTCTGTATTTCTGAGGCTTCCTTCCTTTCTCCTATTCATCTAAGAAGGAAAATGTCAAAAGGCTCAGTAACCTCAGGCAAAAGAACCTGAGCTCAGATCACCTCCGTTGGAGGTGCTGAGGTTGCCCTAGAGGTGACGAGTTCTTAGTGCTTTGACTTCCCCATTGCCACGCTGCGACTCGCGCGTGAGGTTCTCTCATTGCAGCAGGGAGGACGAGGCTCTTCCACACTCCTGCATCCTGAGACCTTTTATACAAAGGTGACAGAGAAACTGAGGTCTCAACATTATTAAGTTCTGGTAAGTTTTGCCTTAATTTGCAGCTAGGAGGAAGAAAGAGAACTGAATCACTGTCTGTGCTGAAAAAAGGCAGGGAGGTTTCAGGCTTTCTTTCAGTATCAGATCAGCCTCTCGGTTGACTTTTGAACAGTGCCTGTCTGCCTCTTGCCCAGCCATCAGGCCAGATGATAGAGGTAGAGGACACAAGGGGCAGCTAGAGGAATTTAAGGAGGGAAATGTGTAATTAGGGATACAGGGACAGAGAAAGTGAAGCACTTGTGAGGCAAGAAAGAGGTCTTGAGACGTGGAGGGGGTCTAAGGATATTGCAGACTGGAACTATAAAAAGCACAGAAAAGTTGGGATTACCGTGGCACGGGTGCGTATAAGGATGCAGAGCCTGACCTCATGAGTCCTTCTAGAAGAGCCACGTGTTATTTCTGCCACAGAGATAAGCAGAAGGATGAGGTGAAAGAAGCAAACTTAAAATGGGTGACCAGCCTTTCCGTCCTCTCTCGCTGCGGTCTATGTGGAGAGATTTATGGAATGATACCGGTTTCAGTTTATCAACAGGAAAGCTAGGTGTGGAGAGTATCTCTGATAATAAGGCTATTTCAGTCTTACACATGCATAACACAATCCAGCACCTCACAACTGAGGCTTGACAAAGAAGAAACTTCAAAAGAGATATAATTTGTATATATTTAATATAAAGGTAAGTAGACTAGGGGTAAGGTCCTTAATTGAACTGTTTACCTGGAGATATATTTTCACTGTACTATGTGAAATGGGCACTGTGATTGAAATAATCAAAATAGTTCATTTTAGCTTTCTGTTCTGGATATCCATTTGCTTTTGATGGTTGCTGTTGTATTTAGGTGTCAATGTGCACTTTCTGCAAGTGGAATTACGTAATTGTGTCCAAAATACTTGATGTTTGTGAGGGGAAAGACAGTCCATAGTGAGATGAAGTAAGTTGTTTCTGGAGACGCTTAGCTTTCATTTCTGTATCAGGATTAAGGCTTTCTTAACATTAAGCTATCTAAGGGGTATCTGCACATGACTGTAAATGTCTAGCATTGGGTATCCATACTAGAATATTTTTATGTGACAGTTATTTTTTTGACCTGATGCCTGTAAGTGGTGATACCATCATAGCCTGGTGCTGGTATAAAGGCAGGCTGTTAAAACTTTAAATAAAGTTATTTTCTTTCTGTCATTGGTAAGTGATATAAAATGTTTTTTAGGGATAAGGTTTATTTTAATTATTCAATTACAGTTTCAGTCTCCAATGGGAATAGTCAGGCCAAGTAGTTCTAGAAAAGATACTGCCCATTAGATCTCTCTGGATTAAGACCGGCTCCACAGCGGTGTTTCACAGCTATTTCACAGTCCCATTTTTGTTCTCATTCTGGTTGCTGAGACACAAACTAATTTTTTGTTGTTGTAGTTATGGAAGATACAGGCAAAATTTTGATGTATGCTGCCATCTGCTGTGGGCTGAATATTATCCTGAGCATTTCAACTTTGTTGCTGCAAGTTGTATTTGTGCTGAGGTTATGAGCGCCTGAATAAATGATACACAATAGTCATGCTGGTTCTATAAGAATGATCTAAAACTCACTTCGACTTGACCTTCCGTGCAAAACATACTTCACGAAATGCTGTCAGGGTAAAGTGCTAATCATAGTTTGCTTAGCTTACAGACTTTTGCAAAGCCCTAAAAAAAAAGGAAATGCTGCAAAACAGCAGTTGTGGACCAGCCGTGATCTGGCAGCTCCGCTCTGCCAGATAGATAAGATACGGGGGTGAGCTGCAGTGGTATCAGCACGCGGT